CTGGGAGTGCTCTCAGCAGTCCACTGAGCAGTGCAGTTAGATTCAAGGAAGCAAGGTATTCATCAGGCCTCATTCCCTACAGGAGCTGATATCTCTTGTAACAACTTCATAGGTATAGTTTCCAGGGTTTCTGTGAGAGACATACCAGTTACTCAAGTCGTAGCACTCAGAGAAGGCTAAAGATGTGACTTCCCGCCAGGGACTGATAGTTCTCTCACTACAGATACAGTTTAGCAAACAGGGTCATCTCTTGCATGTGCACTGTTGCCTAACAGCATGGTTGACACACTATCTTTATCAAGTTGCCTTGAGAAACAGAGCTGGAAAGTTAACCAAGTGTCAAATTCTCATGCAGGAATGGAAAAGGTTTTGTTCACCCTTTATTGGTCTCCTCCAACATCCACTCCAATTTCAGTGTTTTCCTTAAAAGTAACTCCTGTTAATAAGTTTTTAAAGTATTTACATTAAATTGTATATATATTGATAAGCACTTAGCTTATATCTATTTTTCACTATTATAAACAAGGAACATCCTTATGTACATGAGTGTGTTTCTTAGCAGTACAATTATTTGATTAAATGATTGGTTAACTTAAAATTCCGATAGATGATATTAAATTGCTGTTAATCTTTATGCACACCAACAATGCATGAGTATCAATTCCTCTTTACTGTGACATTCTGTATTAGAAATCTTTGTCACAATGATGAATGAGAAATGATCTTGCATTAGTTTGCATTTCTCTGATTACTTGTAATATATTTTTTCAAACGTTTATTGACCACCATTTGTATTTTTTCTTTTGTGAATTACTTGATCATACTTTTTGCCCATTTTTCTATTGAGTTGACTTCATTGATTTTTAGGTGTTAAAGAGAAAACCACAGGCCCCAAAAGGCATCACTTGTGCTAAAGATCATGACCTAATTGCAGTTTCCACCTTCACCAGAAATGTCTCTAATTTTCTGGTCAACACCAATGAGGTAATATGTCACATGGGCCCTCTCTATTATCCCTCCTCCATAGAAAGAAGTGGTAATCTGCATGATAAAAAACTTTGCCTTTCCTTGCTTCTCCAAAGATGTCCTGGTCCAAAAATAATTTTTTATTTTCTTTTGTTAATAGCTCCCTTGCCCCGCTCTTTCTATAGAAACCTTCCATTTTGTACAACCCCTCTGAGTGCCCTTTTAGTTGCTGGGTTGCAAGCTGCCTGATTCATGAAATGCTTAATAAAGCCAATTTAATCTTCAAATTTACTCGGTTGAATTGTTCCTTAATGTAAGTAATATAAACATATCTACAGTTATGCTCCACATAATCATGTTTCAGTCAACGATGGACCACGTATACCACAGTGGTCCCGTAAGATTATAATGGAGCTGAAAATTTTCAATTGCCTAGTGATGTCATAGCCGTTGTAAGGTAGGAGCATTACTCATGTGTTTGTGGTGATGCTGGTGAAAACAAATCTACTTCACTGCCAGCCATATAAAAGTATAGCACATACAATTATTCACAGTACGTAACACTTGATAATGATAATAAATGACTGTTACTGGTTTATATATTTACTATACTACATTTTTTATTGTCATTTTAGAGTGTACTCTATAAAAAAAATTTGCTGTAAAACAGTATGCTGTTATGCCAGCAGCAGTCTCATAATCTTGTGTACTTTTTCTGTTTAGATATGCTTAGATACACAAATATTTACTATTGTGTTACAATTGCCTACAGTATTCAGCACAGTAACATGTTGTACAGGCTTGTAGCATAGGAGCAATAAGCTATCTCATATAGGCTAGGTGTGTAGTAGGCTATACCATCTAGGTTTGTGTAAGTGCACTCCATAGTGTTTGCACAATGACAAAATCGCCTAAGGATGAATTTCTCAGATGGTATCTCTAGTCACATGTGACTGACTGTATTTTAAAGCAAATCTCAGGAGATTCTTAAACTCGTTCAATTTGAGATCCAGAATTTTATGATTTCTGGGTTTCCCATTGTACTTTAAAAGTTGTTTCCAACTCCAAAAAAATACTCATTTTTTTTCTCGCTGTACCTCATTTTCTTTGGTTTCAATCTTGATAGTTTAAAGTCTATTACTATTAAAAAAAGAAACTAGAAACATTGGGGGTTATGCTAAGTAAAAGGTACCTGTAATGTCTTCTACAAGGTATTTCGAATTTAATATTCCATCCAATGACTTAACACCAGAACTTTCTTACATGTTACTAATGATTAGCAAGATTCTTATCTCAATGTTTTGCATTCATGCCACCTGATGTTCATATTTGATATAGTCTTAAAATTACTCTAATTAGTTAGAGATTTGAGAAGTATTTAGGCATGAGCTAATGCTTTGAACATGAGAATAATTATTATTGAGGCTTTCAGAAAGGCTGTAGATTACTAGTCTGAATATTATCACTTGAGTCAACACCTAGCTATAGTCTTAATCAATCTGTAAAATATGGATAGCAAGGAACACTACCTATCTACCATACTGTTTAGAAAAATGAGACTTATATTTTGATCTTCTTTAAAGAAGTTAGCTGCGTAATTAGCTGTTTCCTTTAATTATTCTTAGTCTTTATCTCAAAAGTAATTAATCCTTGGTAAATATTCTTTTACTTATAGAAGAATGGGGAAACAGAAATCAAGAACCTGTAGAATATTTAAAAATTTTTTAAATTCTAAACAGAATTTGTCACTTAAATGTTTAGAAATTTTATTGAAATAACTTTTAAAAAATGTACAATTCAGTATTTTTAGTATATTCACAAGATTGTGCAATCACCACCACTAATTCCAGAACATTTCATCACCCCAAATGGAAATCCCCTTCTCCCCATCACCTAGCAACAAGTAATCAACTTTCTGTTTTTATGGATTTGCCTATTCTGGACATTTCATATAAACAGAATCATGCTTTTGTGTGTGGCTTCTTTCACTAGCATGTTTTCAAGGTTCATTCATGTTGTAGCATAATCAGTACTTATTTCCTTCTTCTGGTTGAATAACATCCCATTGAAAGGACATACCATGTTTTATTTCTTCATCAGTAGTTGGATATTTGGGTTGGACCTTTTTGGCTATTATGCATAATTCTGCCACATTTATGTACAAGTTCTTGTGTGAACATGTTTTTATTTCTCTTGGGTACATGCTTAGAAATGGAATTGCTGGATCATTAGGGTAACTAAGCTTAGATTTTTGAGAAATTGCCAAATTTCCAAGTAGCTATACCATTTTATATTCCCACCAGAAATGTAGGAGGGTTCCACTTTCTCCATATCCATACCAATTTGTTGTTTTAAAATTATTATATTATAGCTATCCTAGTATGAAGTAGTATCTTGTGGTTCTGATTTGCATTTTCCTAATTGACTAATCATGTTGAGCATCTCATATACTCATTGGCCATTTGTGTTTCTCTAGAGAAATGCTTATTCAATCCTTTGCCCATTTTTAAATTGGGTTGTCTTTTTACTTTTGAGTTATGAGTTCTCTGCATATTCAAGAGAAATCCTACTTAGATTAAAGCCAACACAGAAATAAGAGTTGACAGAGGGTAAGACTGAGCCCTGATGACATATTTTGAACTCTTGTATTCATTCATGCATAAAGTCAGACTTAACTCCATGAACTTAAGTTTTATGAACCAATACATTCCTGGGGGCTAATCTGACTAGAATAATGGAAGGATGGATGATCTCCATCTTTCATGATCTCCCATGTCAGGATTCCTCAAGTAGAATGAGACTCTTCTCCATAAGTTTTTCTGATCTACTCCCAGGCCCTATCCTATACTATAGGCACTGGGAGTAAGAGGTAGAAGCAAGCTGAATGATGCCTGGCACAATTAGAAGTCTTACTCTCCCAACCCTCAGAGGGTCCTGGGCAGAAGCTTCAGACCACAAAGACCTTTGCACAACTTCCATAATGCTTATAAAAGCCACAACTTAAAAAATAAAGCAACAAAGCAAAAAGTAACCAATCCACCATGAGAAAAACTGTCTTAAAGTGCTAGAGTGGTAGTTATGACTTTACAGAGAATACAGAATCCCTGCATTAGGCATAGGCATGGTTGCCATTTAAAAAAAAAGTTTTTTTATTTTTCAATTATGGTTGACATTCAATATTACATTCATTTCAAGTGTGCAGGATACTGGGTAGACATTTATATAACTTACAAAGTGACCCTCCCAATAAGTCTTACAGCTCCCTGACACTATATAGAGTTATGACATGGACTATATTCTCTAAGCTTTACCTCCCCAGGACTCTTTTACAACTGCCATTTGTACTTAATCCCCTCATCTTTTTCACTCAGCCCCCCAAACTCCCTCCCATCTGGCAACCATCAGTTTGTTCTCTGTATCTGAGTTTGTTTTGTTAGTTCATTTATTTTGTTCTTTAGATTCCACATATAAGTGAAATCATATGGTAGTTGTCTTTCTCTGACTTATTCACTTAGCATAACACCCTCTAGGTTCATCCATGTTGTTGCAGCATGTTTGCCATTTTTAGCAGCTTTGTAACTTATGTTAATGTTACATGTTTTCCAAAATACTTTCCTATCCATTGTTGTCCCTAGGTTGCCAAGATGGTTGAGACATGATCTTAGATTAAGTACTACTGAATGGTCAAATTATAGTAGGTGAGTCCAAAAGTAGAGGGCTCACCATGTGAATTTGAACAGAAGAGGCTGAGGAGAAAAAGGTAGAAAAATTAGGGGTAGTATGTGAAGCTGATATAGAGCGTTTCCTACGTGTCTGGGGGACATGCATGAGGGATTACATTTGTCTACATGAAAACTAACGACAATGTGATAGGCAGAACAACACTTAAGATATGATTTTTGCCATTGAAGAGCTTCTGTATGTTACAATGGGTGCCAATAAGAGAAGTGTAATCACAATAGTATGAAGATACATTAATCATAATGAGAGCTCTAGGTGCTTGAAAGAGGAAGAAACACATCACCAGGCAGGAACAGCATCAGTAAACTACATGTATTGAGCATTTACTGGGTATTGAGCATATCAGATACAAACAAATCAGAATGAGGCAGGTAAGAACTTAAGAAATTAAATATACACATTATTTTATCACTAATTCCAACTACGAGGGAAATATTTGTGCAAGTTATATTTTATAATGAAATTCTGATGCCTGTCAAAAGGATAAGCTATACATACAATGCAATAAAAAAATTTTAATTGTGCTTATTAACATCACAGAATTACCCTAAAATGGGTTGATAAAATGCCTATACAGCATTCATTCTTATTATACACATATATTTCAATTAAAGACTGTTTGAAAAATACAAATACTTTGACCTCACTGCTGAGAAATCTACGGTCAACAACTATAAATGCAGTTCCTCTAAGAAACATCATGGCATTTGCCATCCATTTCTCCTTTAAAGTCCATTTGCAGTTTAGCTTACTAACAAGTTCTCTTCAGAACTGTTTATATCTCTTTTGTCTGATCATCTTCTTCGAGTTTCCTGATTTCATTTTTTAAACAATTTATAGTTTCACGACTTGCTTTTAATCTCTCCTTAAGCTCTGCAATTTCAAAGCTTGTTTTTTTTTTCGCGGCTTCTAATTTTTCTCTGGTTTTCACTTCAAGTTCTGCAACTAAAGAAAACATATACTTTTATTGAATTATTTAATTTTTCTTACATGTCTAAGATATGTCACAGAGTAATAAATAAGGCATTTCCTGAGGTCAATGTTTCCACAATGAAATGTGGACAACCTAGGATATATAACATTAAACACAGGGGTGTGGGTGAGAAAGTCTGAACTCCCAAGAGAGGATCTCAGGTGTCTTTTGTAACTAAGAATGAAATTCTGGCCACTAATATTTTAATTCTTAGGTAAAATTTTAAGATATATTATTCTTGTTTTTCTCCATATACATATTAATTTGGAAATAAGGGGGCATATAATCCAAGAGATATCCAGCAAATAAGATCACTAAACATACAGTGTTCTTAAATATATGTACAGGTAAAACTTACATAAACAGAATCACACTGGTAAAACAAACCCATATCTTTTTTCAAAAAAGATAACAATAACTGTCTAGTTTGAATTCCAGCTCTACCATTAGTTGTGCCAGTTTTAAGCATTTATTATCCCTATGCTCATTTCCCCATTTCTAAAATTAATATTACAGCAAATATCTTATTTGTTGAGGAAAATTTAAAACTAATTTATGTATATAAGTATCTAGAACATTACCTAGTACATAAAAAGTCATATTAATTACTATAATGACAGAAGAACATTAAATGACATTTAAAACATTCTATCTAGCTAGTAATATAACAAATTAACTAAAGAAAATATCACTACTGCAAAAGAGATTACATCTATTTATTCCACTGGAGAGTATAGCATCAGCTTTACAAAGAAAAATGCCTACTTTTATTCAACATTTCCATCTTGTGGAGATTTCAGGTAATTGCTGCTGATGACTATTAAAGCATGGTTGTATGTACTTCTGCTAATACAAGATGATCCCTAATCGAAAGTAGCATGGTTTGGTGATGGGAAAAACAAACAAACAAACAAAAAAACTTTGAAATCCGAAAGGCTTTCAACTAATAATACACCCTTATTAGTTGAATGCTATTTCTTAGTTTCCCTCAATTTCATCTTTCTACATGATATGGTTAAAGCTTTATATTTCTCAGATTTATGAGGATTAAGCAAATATTGGCCCTTTGTATCCATAGGTTCTGCATCCACAGATCTAAAATATTGGGGGAAAAAAACGTTATGTTGTTGCTAATGTGTAATATGCAGTCAGGCCTATGATGACCATATCTGCACTGAACATATACAGACATTTTTGTTATTTCTTAACCAATATAACAACTATTTACACAGCATTTACATTGTATGAGGTATTATTAGTAATCCAGAGATGATTTAAAGTACACGGGAGGATGTGCATAGGTTATATGCAAATAGTACACCATTTTTTATATGGGACTTGAGCATCAGCAGATTATGGTATCCACAGGGTGTCTTAGAACCAATCCCCCACGGATACCAGGGGAAGATAGTATGTATATGTAAAGCATCTAAAACATGCATTGTTTTCCTATTTTGCTCACTGCTGGTCACCTTTTTTCTGTGATACATTTTTTAACAAGTAAATATTTATATTGCCAAAACAACCCACATTTTTCTTTGTAATTTTTCATTGCTTTTATTTGTAAAATTATTTTTACTTTTATAAAAAAGTTTGTAACTTTTGGCCCGCTTCATGGCATTTTGTCTTCTCCCCACCCCCTGGCAACCACCAATCTGTTCTCTGTATCTATAAGTATGTGTGTGTGTTTACTTTCACATTTAAGTAGAATCATGCAGTATTTGTCTTTCCTTTTCTGACTTATTTAACTTAGCATAATTCCCTCGAGGCCTATCCATGTTGTCACAAACGGAAAAATTTCATTCTTTATGGTCAAACAGTATTCCATTGTATGTATAGATACCATATCTTCTCTATCTAACCAGCAATGGACACTTAGGTTGTATCCCTATCTCGGCTACCGTAAATAATGCTGCAGTGAGCATGGGGGTGCATGTATCTTTCCAAATGATTGTTTTCATTTTCTTCAGATAAATGTCCAGAAGTAGAATTGTTGAATTATATGGTAGTTCTATTTTAAATTTTGTAAGAAACCTCCATACTGTTTTCCGTAGTGGTTACACCAATTTACAATTCCACCAATAGTGTATGAGGGTTCCCTTTTCTCTACATCCTTGCCAACATCTGTTTGTTGACTTTTTGATAACAGCCATTCTGACAAGTATGAGATGATATCTCACTGTGGTTTTGATTTGCATTTCCCTGATTACTGATGTTGAGCATCTTTTCATGTACCTGTTGGTCAATCTGTATGTCTTCTTTGGAAAAATGTCTATTCAGATCTTGTATGATATTTTTGCTACTGAGTTATATGAGTTAATTTATATATTTTTTGATATTAATCTCTTATCAAATATATGATTTGCAAAAACTTTCTCCCAATCAGTAGATTAAAGAGGGGAGGAAAAAACATACTGAGTGAAAGGCACTTTGTTAATTGCTGGGGTACAGAGGTGGGAGATAGACAAGAGAGCAAAATGCAGTACAGTATCATGAGATAATTACAGGGAGCCATGAGAACAGACTGGATTCATACCAAGAGGAAAGGGTATGTGTGTATCAAAGAAGGCTTCTTGGCAGTAGAAAAGCTGAACTTAATTTTAAAGAATGAGAAAGGAATTAGGTAGATGAAGACATAGCAGGCCCCAGAAATAGCACATGTACATTTGGGAAACAACAGAGTCCTATAAGACTTTAACAGTTTTAAATCTAGTCAGGAAGAACTGATTTAATTCATTTGTTAGGACAGCATTTACTGTAGATACAGATTCTTATTGTTTGATTTACATTTTTTCATCTTTTCTTATGGCTGAGTAGTATTCCACTGTATATATGTACCACATCTTCATTATTCAATCATCTATTGAAGGACACTTCAGTTGTTTCCATGTCTTGGCCACTGAAAATAATGCTGCAACGAACACAGGGGTATGTCTATCTTTACGAATAAATGTTTTCAAATTTTTGTGTAGATATCCAGAAGAGGGATTGCTGGGTCATATGGTAACTATTTTTAAGTTTTTGAGGAACTGCCATACTGTCTTCCATAGTGGCTGTACCAATTTATATTCCCACCAGCTGTAAATGAAGTGTCCTTTTTCTCCACAACCTCTCCAACACTTGCTATTACTTGTCTTGTAGATACACTTTATTTTTGACAAATCGTAAGACTGCAAAGGGCACAATATATTTGGAAGAAGACCTTGGTTAATTAACAATGAGATCCTGCGGGAAAACATTTTAAAACTCTTTTTAGCTTGTTTCAGTTTTTTGCTTTCTATATATTAAATGCTTATATAAAAAGAAACATTTGTTTTCAATTTCCAAATGAAGCCTCAACTTAGCGTAAATCAATCCAAAAAAGAATAATTATTTTTGCAGAGCTAGTTTGAAGCACAGACCACAAGGCTTTTACACAGAGAACAGTTTATTGGGTAAGAGTATGGACTCTGGGTTTAAATCCTGGCTCTGATTTGAGGCAAGCTATTAACTCTATGCTCAAGGATCTTTAGTTACAAAATGGGGTTAATAGTACTACTTTCCTCCTATGGTTATTATGGTATTCGATAAGTTAAGAAATGTAAAGTGCTTGTCTAGTACACAGTAAGCTCTCATTAAGTATTCACTACCATTTTAATTATTCCTTATAGAGGCAATTATTACTATTTAAAGCTAGATCATTAGTGCTTAAGTAAATTTCCAGTAAAATTGGGTTTACAAGCACAAATATGTTTATAAACTTTTAATATGATTCATAATGAGCAACCTCTATCCTGAATATTACACTATCTAAAAATATTACTAAGTTTTTAGAGCCTAAGTTCCAAGGACTGCCTGGGACATAGTCCTGGTTCTATCGCTAATTAGATACGTTAACGCAGGCAAGTTACTTAACCTCCTTGTGTCTCAGCTTCCTTTTCTAAATGAGAATACAAAGTGTACCACATCCTTACTAGTACAATTACTAACGATTCCTTTTGCTAATTTAATACAAATTTGGCCACCCATTATTGTTTGGTTTGCATTTTTAAAGTTACTAGCAGGGCCAAATGTTTCCCCATTTTATTTACCAGTGATCTCTTCTTTCACTTGTCTATGTCTTTTGTCCATTTATCAATTAAAGTTTAAAATTTTTTTCTATTTAATTTGTCCATTTTAGGGTTTTTAAGATATTAATCCTTTGCCATATTTTCTGGATATTTTTCTTTTTTGCCCTTTTGAAATGTAGAAGTTAAATATTTTTTACAAAATCAGGTTTGTCTTTCTTTTAATGTGATTTCTTCTAACATCTCAAATTTAAAAAGTCTTCCCTAGCCAGGACAATCATATCTCTAATTTTTTCAACAGGCTGATTGATTTAAAAAACACATTTAACTATAATTAACTGGAATTTGTTTTGGTAAATACTATGAAGCAATGACCTAAATAAAATTTTCCTCTCAAAAGTTTATTAACTGTGCCAGTACCTCTTTTGGAATTCTCTTTTTTTCCTGATTAGATATTGCTAAGAGGTAAACCAAAGATAATATAAAACACGTAATTTACTGATAAAAACTTCCCAAGGTTATACAGCTCCATATATAAGCTTTAATACATAAAAATAATTTATAGGAAAGACTTTTTATTAAATACATTATACATAAGTGAATTATTAGTTAAATAGTTTTGTTGAAAACACAAAAATGTGGTCACTTGAATTTTAAAAGAGAAGTTTCTTCTCTGAATTGGGCGCATTTTATGGTATGGGAGAAAGAAAATCTATGGAGAGGAAACGACCAATAACAAAATAACATAGTAAGTACTTTTTTACCTTTTCAAAGTGATCATATATATATCTGTTTTATATTCATAACAAAGTGGGCTGGTAAATCTTTTTGCAGATATAGAAAATGAAGCATGAAAATTCTAAAACACTATGATTTTAAATTTTAAATGACTACCAAGTGGCAAAATTATGAGTATTCACATCCTTTAACTTAGTCATGCGTTTCATAAAAATACAAAAAAAAAAAAAATTACTATAACCAATAATGGTTAAATAGCAATTTCCTTGCCCCTGCATTTACTGGCTTTCAGCCAACAAATCTACTAGTTTATTTCCTCCTGACAACACTACCCTCTAGACCCCATATTCTGCTTCTGCTACCACACTACAAGTTCCAAGACACAGGTGTCTATAGTGCCTGTCTCCAATTTCTCTCATTTCATTCTCTGTTGATCCATTTCAACTATTTTCTGCCCGTACTATTTTCCTTCAACTCCTCCTGTAAAAGTCATCAAGGACCACTACCTTGCTATAGCCCATTTTTTGGCCCTCATCTAACTTGTCCTATCAGCAGAACTGGATATGGTTAATGACTTTCTTGATGCACTTTCTGTACTTGGCTTTAGGATATTATAGGCATCTATTTTTTTCTTCCTCCAGATTCACTGTTTCTTCTTAATTTCCTTTGAGGGTGATCGCCTTAATCTCTAAGTGTTGCAGTACTCACAGCTCAGTCCTTGGACCTCCTTTCTATCTTTATTCACTCCTTTGATGATACCACTGGGTCTCACAATTTAAATCCATCTATATATTAACTTCCAAATTTTTATCTTCAGCCTATATCTCTCCTTGAATATCAGACTTTGGGGTGCAATTCCCTTCTCAACATCACCACTTAGATGTCTTACAGGCATCCCACATCCAACATATCCAAAATTGTATTCCTAATCTTTCCCCCAAAGCCTGCTGCTCCCAGACTTCCCCATCTCTATAAAAAGCAATGACAAGTTTTTGGTTCCTTGGGCCCTACACCTTAAGAATCATTCTTTATTCATCTCCTTCTCTCACATCTTATTATTCAAACCATCAGCAAATTCTACTGAGCCTATCTTCAAAATAGATCCAGAATCTGACCCCTTCACACCACCTCATTGCTGTCACTCTGGTACCACCCACTATTCTATCATATCTAGATTACTGGAATAGCCTCTGCTTCTTCCCTTTCTGCTTTACAGTCTATTCTCAAAACACAGCCAGGGTGACTGAACTTTTTAATACATTAGTCATACACTTTGACTCTTCTGCTCAAAACCCACACAACTTCATGTCCTTCAGTTTAATAATTTAAAGTTCTCATGGTTACGCATAAGTTCTTATATGATCTGGTACCCTATTAACTTCTCTGCTTATCTCCCATTCTTTGTTCCCTTTTCCACTCTAGTCAAAATGGCTTCCTTGCTGTTCCTCAGATATGCCAGGCATACTCTTACCTCAGGGCTTTTGCCCTTGCTGCTCCCGCTACACACAACATTCTTCCCGCAGACAGCCCCAAGGCTCACTTCCTTATTCTTTTAGTTATTCGCTCAAATGCCACAATCTCAGGAAGCATTCTCTGACTTGAAATTTAAAACTCTAACCATCTCCTTCCACCAAAGGTGTTACCTCCCTTGCTTTATTTTTCTCCATATGACCCAATCATTACTTTATACTTTATTATTCTGTTTATTTAAAATCTGTCTTCCTCCCACTAGAACGTAAGCTCCATGAAGGCAAGGCTTTTTGTCTGGTTTGGGCTCTCAGAACCTAGAACAATGCCTGGCATATAACTAGTGCTCAATATATACTGTAGGCAAATGAATAAAAGATCAAAGGAAAAACTGAATGGTAACATAAATGTTAACACAGGGATGGCAAACAGATTTCATCTTGAGTACCAAGTACAAATGATGGCAGTAGCTGTATGGAGTGACGTGTAGGCTATTCTGAGATCAGGTCAGCTTAGAGGGAAAATATACCATGACTAATCATCAATGTGGCATTCTGGTATTCTCCACCTTAGCATTAATCTGAAACTACGTAAAATGACATAGGTTTTAAAAAAAGATAAACTAGTTCACAGTACACAAAAGTATAATTATGTTCTGCAAGGTTCTTCACACAGATTTTGTTAGCAAAGATTAGCAAACCGAGTGACAGGTTAAGCAAGATTAATGAAAAGCTATGCTTAAATGTAATTAGGGAATAAAAGACAAACAGTATGTCAGAGACTGTGAGAGGCTGTCTTTTACCTTTTTGAAAGTAGGCCTACTTTGGGAACAATGTGAAATAGCCTTCTTACATGTTCTGTAGTAATACATATCTTGTTTTTTAGCTCTTGACAAATTTACATATATATAGCGTTAGAAAAAAAAAGTAATAGTTACTAAGCATACAATCCTTTCACCATTACAGAACATATTATTTTTCAGAATTATGAACTCATTGCACTTACATTCTGTTTCATGCTTATAGGCTCCTAACGTTAGCTGACGAGACGTTGTGAGTAACTGTTGCATCATTGCTGTTGGGTCTTGAAATATCTAATGGGATAGAATGAAAGAAAGCCTAATAACTTCAAAGTTCTACAATTTAAAATGCTTTTAAAACTCTCATTCTAAAATCTTCTTACCATTTCATCATAGAACTCTGAAACCACTGTCTTTTTTCCCAGCATCGCATTGGTATCTGATTGAAACAACTTTAATAAATGATACAATGTTACCTGTGAAATAAAAACAGACATGGCATCTGTGCAATGGTTACCATCATCACTGTGAGACACTGTCACTTCTGTAACTGAATTAAAGACTAGAATCAGTAAACATATCAAATTCGGGATCTTTTCTCAACTACAACTTACTGTGGCAAATCATCCAAACTCTGTACTTTTTTTTTCCTGTTAGGTGTTACCATCCATCCACATCTCCTAAACATGAATGTTTTGAAGAAGGTAAGTAAAAATCTATTACAAAGCATTTCTAGAGAGTGACTATATATAAAAATAACATAAGATATACCTATGGAACTTAAACTGGGAAATCGCTAAGACATAAATTCTTTTACTTATATAAGCGAAATTAGATCAGTTGTGACAGTTATTCTGTGAAGTTTAAAGTTTACAAATTTACTGTGGGGGGGGAAGATTTGATACTTTCAAAAGTAATGACTAATACTATAATGCTCAGGGTGGGAAAAATAATTTCTTTGGTGATCTATAAGATTATTACATAAGTAGCAAACAAAAAGTCAGCGATAATTCACTTTGTCAAGAGCAACGTATCTTCAAAATACTTAAAAACAGGTGTAGTAAGACATCAAAAGAAAAGTCTTGCAGCACAATGTGCGATTACTTGAGCAAAATAAAACCCAGCTGACAAAACATCAGAGTTCATGCTGAAGTTGTAGAAACCGATTCAGAGGCTTCAAAATTTTTTCCAAAATGTAGCTAAAATCATTATAAGGAGCATGCATCAATCACATACCATATTTAAAGCAGATAATTTGACAAATATCTGGAATAGACTGAAAGCAGATGAAACTATGTGAATGGATAGACCATAACAGGGAAATCTAAAACCTGAAAATGTTAGGAGAACTGCATCAGAGGTGGGGGCCAGTGTTCCCAGTGGAGCTCCAGAGAGGTTTCAAGCTCAAAGTGGCAAGTGTAGAAATCAAGAATGCTATAGGGTAGCTGGGCCTGTAAACCTTCCTTTCTTTTCCCTTCACTCACAGATAAGAGAGCATATCCTCCTGTGGAACCTAGAATTTTTTACCCAAACAATCAAGTATGAAGTAAAAATACAGATATTTTCAGATAGCAAGAACTCTGAAAGTTTATTTCTTGGGCAACCTTTCCTAAGAAATTCCTCTAGCAAAATGTAAAAAAAAAAAAATTGGAAAGATAAGAAAAAGGGTTATCTGTCATCATTAGGAGTAGACAGGCACTATCTAAAATAGAAAAATTCAAACTTAGGTATTTAAATATATGAAATGCATGGGAGTAATTTCTAGAGGATCTGAAAACAGTAACTGTGGTTTTCCTGGGGAAAGGGCCAGAGATGGGAGAAAAGATGTTATAGATTAAACTGTGTCCCCCACGCCCAAAAGATATGAAGTCCTAACCCTCAGTACCTGTGAATATGACCTTACTTGGAAAGAGGGTCTTTGCAGATGTAATCAAGTTAAGATGAAGTCTTTAGTGTAGGCCCTAATCCAATTTGACTAGAGTCCTCATAAGAAGAGACAGAGAGATAGGGAGAGAAGGGAATGTGACAAAAAAGACAGACAATGAAGTTACGCTGGCACAAGCCAAGGAATGCCTAGGGCTACCAGGAACTAGAAGAGGCAAGAAAGGATCCTCCTCTAGAAACTCTGGAGAGACCATGGCCAACACCTTGTTTCTGGACTTCTAGATTCCAGAAATGTAAGAATAAATTTGTTGTCTTTAGCCACTCAGTTTGCGGTATTTTGTTATAGCAATGCTAGAAAACTAATACAAAAGACTGTACTTTTCATTTTTAAAAACTATTAAAACCATGTGCATGTCTGACTTTTATAATTTAAAACTACATCAGAAAACTGTCCTGCCCTAAATTTATTATTTAGACTCCCAGAGGCATTCATGTAGATACAGGTAATCAAAAATTTCAAGACAGGTGTCTTCAATTTTGAGCGGTTTGAAGATTCTTAGAGCAACGAAAATGCCTATACTTGCCACAGAGATATTTCTAGGCATAAAACCCAATTTTAGCATTTTGCTTTTAGAAACAACCATTCCTGTCACAATGGCTTGACCTATAAAAGGTTACTGGATAACAAAAGTAAATCACAAATTACCTGTGCCTTTTATATTTTAAATAAATCTTCATGACACTTATTTTCTACAAGAGCCAATTACTGAAAAAGTATAATGGTTTTATTATACAAAAGAACACTACAACAGCTTTAAGGGAATAAAATTCAGGTCTATGTAGATCTATAAAGAAACCTATTCAATAATTTAATAACATTACTTTCCTTTTCCAAGAGTGGACTTTGAGAGCTGTCTCATAATGATATAAAGATTTCTTTCAGAAAAGTATTTTCCAACTGGGAGGGGTTGGGGGATGACAGATGAGAAGACAGACAGATAAGGCCACATATTCTCAAAAATGAATTCAAAGCAATCTTAAAGTTAAAAAAAAAAGCTTCTGCTCTAGTAACATTACTGACTTCTCCTTCTCCCTCTCTCTCAATTATCTGCTGAATTCTGTGCTCTATTTTCCCTAATAGACTATTTCCATTAAGGGTAGGAGCAATGTTTCATCTTTGTACCAAGATATCTGAAAAATATCTTGCCAATAATAGATATTTAATAATTTCTTGCCAAACAGAATATAATGCAAGGGTATGCTAGAAGGACAATAAAAAATGGTAAGAGATCTAGAAACCTTATCACATGGAAAATGTTTAAATGAGCTATAGATGTTTATTCAAGAGAATAATGTCACATTTGATAGTAATTAAGAAAATTAATGTATGAATAGTTATCAATAAAAAGTTCAAGGAAGCTTAAAATAGAGCATTCTTAAAACTAGAACTACCCCAGCCTGAACAGGGTATTTCATTTAATAAGTCTCTCTCTATACTGAAGATAGCAAGTCCAAATGAAATTCTTATTTGAGAGATGGCCTAAAGAAATTCCTACCTATGCAGAATATGGCCTATATTGAAAAATAAAAGTTGAGAAAACACTTCATTAAAAATGAAAAATCTTAACTCATGCCATAAGCTTATATAAAGTATATTTGAATAAAAATGTTAACATATGAAGAGCTCTTCATTAACTAATGTTACATTTTCACAACTAAAAAATTCTACTTTATATTTGCAAAGATAACCATTACTCACAGGTCTTTCATTAGGATCAATGAAGAATATTTTGATGATTATTTCGAATTCACCCCATCCTGTTTCAGTAATTTCATATGGAGGCTTAGTAACAACTGAAGAGACAAAGAAATAAAACAATTATAATTGTAAATTACTGATAGTTTACTAACTCTTTTTAAATTTGTAAATTAGAATAAAAAAACTGTACTGTACCTCTCAAAGGATTGCCATAGCTTTCATGTAATTTAAACTGGATTTTCTTCACATATGCTGACATATCCTAAAATACAAAGGAATTAATTAGTTCTTTCATCTACATAAAAACTAGGAGGGAACTATGCTGAGCACATGTAACTAATTTTATAAAATATACTTCCCCTTAAATATGGAATCCAATTTTCTTCTTTTTTCTAAAAAAATTAATTAGTTAATTTTTTATGGTAACATTGGTTAATGAAATCCAGTAAGTTTCAGTTGTACATTTTAACAGAATCTAATTTTCTAAAAACCATGAGTTATACTGAGTAGATTTATTTTAAACAAGGAAGCCTGTGCTGAATTCCTTCATAATTCACAATATATAGGAATATACAAATCAGTTCACTTATTTTGCAAATCCTGTTTATATTTATACCTATAGACTACTCTAAATCAATTTTGATTTTTCCACAAAAATAACTATATAAATATATAGAAATAACTGTATAAACCAAAGCAAATCTAAGAACTAAGCAACTTCGAAGAACAAAATTATATAAAGCTAAGGTCAACTAAACTAAGTAACCTAGAACTGTTGGATATAAAACTCCTTTTCTTATTTTGAAGCATAGGAGCATAGTCATTCATTCTGGCACGTCAAATGGATTCCCCTAGTGAATGTGGCTTTTTCAAAAATAATTCATTCTAGAAAAATAGTAAAATGCAAAACCATTAAGTTGCACTCAATAGTAATGTTCATTAATCTTTTTTATTTGCTTTTAGGAATTTTTTACATGCTTACTATCTATATATATTTCTAAATTGGAATTATATATAATGATATATTAATATCTGCTTTTATCACTTAGTATTATATTGTGAACATTTTTTCTGAGGCAGATTTCCTTAAGCATCTTTGCAGACTCTTTAGGAAATACTTTTATTCCTTTCTTTCTGAAAACATGAGTGACTACCAATATTGGGTACCAGATGCCATCATAGTAAATAGCATCTTTTAGGATATTCTCAGGATCTCGCTGTGGAGTGGAGTTGGGGGGACAGAAAAATCAGCATTTCAGTGTAATCTGTGTTGTGAGAGCATGAGGTACAAGATTATAGGAAGGGCACTTAACAAACAGTCTTTGGAGATCAAGGAAGTAGTTCTAAAGAAAATATACTTGAACTAAGATCTAAGGGAACAATAAGAATAGAGTAGGTGGAGAGGAATGAATGAAGAGGTTTAATTTCCTTGGGGAATTTGAGAGTAATTTAATATTAGTAGAATGTAGGGTATAAGGAAATGATGAGGCAAACACAAATAAGGTATAATGCTGAAGAGACAGTAGAGGGAAAGATTATGGCATACTTTCTAAAATATGATTGTTTTAACTTTATCATGAGGGCAATAGGTAGTCACTGAAGGATTTTTTTAAAAATAAGTTATGAGATATTCACATACCACACAATTCATCCATTTAAAGTGTACCATGCAATGGTTTTTAGTGTATTCACAGTTGTACATCCATCACCATAATTAATTTTAGAACATTTTTATCACACAAAAAGAAACCCCAGATCCTTAGCACTCACTCCTAAATCCCTCTTCCTCCCACCCAACGGCAACCACTAATCTGTGTCTATAGATTTGCCTATTCTGGACATTTATAAAAATAGACTCATACAATATGTGGCCTTTTGTGTCGGGCTTCCTTCTCTTACCATGTTTCTAAATTCCTCCATGGGTAGTAGCATGTATCAATACTTTATTTCTTTTTATTGCCTAAGAATATTCCATTGTATGGAAATACCACATTTTATTTATTCATTTAGTGGTTAAGAGACTTTTGGGTTGTTTCCATTTTCTGGCTATTATAAATAATGCCACTATGAACATTCGTATAGAAGTTTTTGTGTGGGCTTTGAAGGGTTTAAATAGAGGAATAGTTTATTCATTCAATAAATATCTGTTGAACACCTATTATGTACTGGCTTCATTCCAGGTATTACAGATTCAGCAACAAAACAAAATTTACCAGCAGTTTGTATAGCAGTTTTGCCTTTCGTCTTCTCTGGTGGTCTTATTACCAAATTATAACTTAAAAATTAACTTCTATTCCTGAAACATGATTAAATACTAGGCTAACTTAAGACATGGTGATTAGAATACGTGTTGTGTTTATAGCATAGTTGTTACTAACTTAATTTTAATAGGAAACATTTTTGGAAATTGATTTCTACTGAACAATTACATGAAGATGACAGCTCTTTACTCTTTTGACTTTATCAGTAACATTTCTAAAAAGGACCAATTTTATAATCAGAAAGTCACTATAAAATAATATTACAATTTATCCTTAAGCAAAACAAACTGTACCTTCAAAAAAGTTATCAGAAAAAGCAGTGCCTACCTCATTTCTATATGGTTTTACGTATACTGTCCACTGATGGGTATGCCCATCCTCTTCTCTCTTCTTTCCAAAATATCGAGCAACATTACCATAAACTATTGGTTTAACGATAGTAACTCCCTAAATGAAAAATAATTTAAACACTGATTAATATTTATTTGGGTAATGACACACCAAACAGAATAAAAGCTCTGAAAGCTTGTTTTAAGAAACAGCAGGCAATCTAACAACCTTGAGTTTGTTTATAACAGTAATTTCTCTCAAAAAAATTTTAGACAATTATCCTCATTTCATATCAATACAAATAACACCAAATTACAATGTTCTCACTTTGAAATGCCTCTTTAAAACATGTAAAGTACTTTGAGAGTTTTTCTGAAAAGAAACACAAAAGGCTCTTTATTTACAAACTTTAAAATGAGGTTCTGGAATGAAGAACCAACTTCCACTGCCATTACCTGATAGCAATGTCCTTATTTATCAGCTCGTGGCAGTGTTTTCCAAAGCACAGTACAAATATTAAAGGCAGTTTGGGAGAGGATTTTAGGCAGAATAAGAGCAAACATTTTTCACTTTATTATTTACGTGTTTAATCAGTATTAGAAAAACCACAACTATAGCAATTCAAACACACAATTTCAAAAACATTAATGCTTAGGAATGGGGTTTTAAAAATTGATCTAAATAAAAATGTTAAATATTACAGTTGGATTCGGATAATGATGAAGTGGCACTTGGATGACTGATGCTTGTTTGACACTGGCCAATGGCATGGCATGTTTGCTACATTTGTGCTCAGTTCTGAAATGGACATGTTTCTCATCACATCCAGTAAGTGTAAAGGCAGTGAGTGTTAACATATTATGGAAAAAAGAAAAAAAATTCAAGTGAAGACAAAATACTGAATGTCGCACATAAATTTGAGACCAATTATTCAATACTAAGAATGTATCTGAAAGTCAAAGAGCAAGATATACCACATGTGAAAAGTGCTGTACCAATGTTATCGTCAATAAAAAAATGAGGAAAAGCAGTGAACAAATGGAAAAACTTGTTTGGATAACTAATAAATCCAATACCTATCACCCTAAAGTTAGTTTAGAAGAAGGCAGTTTGCATGAGAACTTAATCATAGAGTCTGACACTTTTGTGGCAACCACAGATGGGAACTTAGGTTCAAGGCCTGAGTGAATGAGGACAAAGAGTGCTGACTAACAGGTGAGTGGATAATAGATCCTGTTGCTGCTGCTACATGTTGGTAGGAAGTTAGAGCTCCTCAATGATTAAAAAAAAGGGGGCTCATGTGTCAATAGTCTTTCTACCTGGATGAAATTTACCTAAATTGGAAACAGATGCCTATAAGACAGCATAACAATTAGTATGGAGAAGAAATAAGTCCCTAATTTTAAAGCTTTACATGACTCACACCCCTTTTTGGTGGAAAAGCATTTGAGGACTACAGGCCTGATCTCCACAAATCACTGGACTTAAATTTACAAACTTTTAGAACCTAACACGATTACAAGTATAGAAAGTTCTGTAGGTCTCCTCTAAAATCTGTTTTAACCCTTTGTTTGGAAGTACTTTCCTATCAGTCCAAAACCTTGCCCAAAAACCTGGGCAAAATGTATATGTTTACGAAGCTTCTAGTACTATGAATTTTACTTGGCATCTTCCTCCTTAAATTTCAGCAGGTTTTGAAATTTTTGAAAAACTCCCACTTTACATATGATCTTAAAGCACTGTGTATGACAGTTGTAAAACACAGTATAATCAAAATCATGTGAAAACAATATGATATACTTTTGACTCTTTAAAAAACCTATATTAACTAGATTGGTGCAAAAACAAGTGATTTAAAAAAATTTCCTGAGATAAAAAGGGGTAAAAATAGATGTTATTTCGGGAACCAGCTGGTCCTGCCTTAAAAATTAACGGGCTAGGAAACGTAAGAAAGTGGGAGGGAAATTTCGAACGTTATGGTAGGCTCTATGATAACTTTAAAAGCTAACATTTATGTTCTCTATGTGCCAGGCAATGTTCTCTGCATGCCTTGATTAATGTCTTAGTCTTAATTTTGGAAACATCATGAACTTGTGAAGAGGAATTTACCTCTTAATTGGCCAACATTTCTAATTAGCTCTCTTCTGCTTCTGTAAACATGCCTGTTGTAAGGCCAGAGATCTCAAGGTCAACTGAGAACTCATCCTCCACTAAAGATGTATTGCTTTGGTGCTTGTTACAAAAGATGTATTACTTAACGCTTGTTAGAAAGTTCTATGATTTCTAACTGCCTGTAGCAACTTCAGAGGTCTGTAAATCAGCCCATGCCAACTTTAACAACCTGAGTATAAAAACAAAATTGCCTTTAAGTTCGAGGCCCAGATTTTCAGAGCACTAGCTCTTCTGGGATCGCTGGCGAAACGAAATTGAGTTATTCCAAACTTCCGGGTGCTGCTTGATTTCTCGCTGGTCTGAGTTTTTGCAACTTTTCTGCAACATTTGGGCCAGTTTTCTGACGTTTTCTATCCCCCATTTCTTCAGTTATCGCACTTGTAAACACTGTGGGTAATACTGTTTTTGTAAAGTTGCTGTAAGGACTGAATCAGAGAACTGGATAAAGCTTTTGGCCACTATGCTTGGCACACAGTAAACGTGCTACTGCTATTATCCTCACAATCAGGACGGTGGCAGCTTACCAGTGACCCGAGCTGGCAGCATCAAGCCCTTGGAGCGGCTTCTTTCCTTATTCTGCTTTCCCTAAGCCACCACTATGTTTACTTTTTTGGGCGGAGATGAAAGGGACGTGGTGACACTGTGAAGTTGGGGCCCAACGAAACACTGGTTTTTCCACAAGGGCTTTGACTCGCTCTCTTCCTTAGATGCCACGGTTCAAGCCCGAGGCAAGAAGTCGCGAGAGGGAAACAGCGCACCCTCCCCACGCAGCGTAGGGAGGAGCCGGGGCAGAGAGCCACTCCCGGATAGGAGGCGCGGCCCGAGCACTGACCTTCACTCTCCCGCCGGAGTCAGGCCCAAATTCGGCCATTCTCTTGAACATATTGTCCTACGGAAGAAGCCGCCGCCGCCGCCGCCAAGGAAAGAGACCGAGGCCGGCGGGGTCGCCGCTCCGCTTATAGGCCCCGCTCCTCCTGCACGGGCCTCGGCGGAGGGTTTCTGGCCGAGGGAGAGCGACTCACTGGCGCGCGGGGAGACGAGGAACCGCCGACTATTCGCCGAGCGCGGCGTCCCAGACGTCCATTCACCCCGTGCGGGTGGAGAACCGGACGCGAGGGATGGCGGCGACGCCGCGCGCAGGCGCAACGAGCGCGCGCTCGCACTGCGCATGCACCGGGCCGCTGCTCTGTGGCCGGGCCCGGGCTGGCGGGGCCGGGCCGGGGTCACCAGGCGACGCTGCGATGCGGGATTCTCTAGTTCGCGTGTCACCACTCTAGACACCTTAACTCTGTAATGACCGAGAAATGGCTTTTGGAGCTAATATCTCGTCATTGGCAAAGCATTCCATTTCTGAAATTAAGTTCATGAAATCTTCTTACGCGCACAACTTTTCGTTGTCTTCAGCTGGACCTCAGTGCTTGAACCGCTTATTTCTTATTTATCCCTTTCTTCCTACTCTTCCTTTTCTACTTAGTTTGGCATTCAGGTGAATAACTGGACACAAATCTCCTCTCCACCATTGCCCTTCTGTGGTTCTACCTGCTGTGCAGATTTACTGCAGGACCGAATTAATGGTCTTCAATTTAATTCAAGACTTAGGTGCTGGCTAGGAGTTCTATTTAAAACTAGATTTTCAACTTTTCCTTAGTTTTCTCAAATCTCCAACTATGACACCAACCCTCTCATTCTTATTAGAGAAATCTAATAATCCCCGTGAAACTGGACCCAACTGGATCATTCTTCAGCCAAGTACACGTAGTCAAATCCACATAGGCCCTCAAAACTTCAAATAATTTTTTACTTTCCTGCTCCAAAATTTAAATAGATAACCAAGGATTACCAAATAACAAATGCTTTTAATATCAAAAATATAATCTAGGATAAACAAACAAAATAGTAGATTAGAGGAAACAGATAAACTAACAACAAAACAAGCCCAAATTATTATTACTATATTGACATAAAATAAGATCGTAAATGTGATACAAAACAAAAAAAGGAACATTAAGAGAACAAAGTTCTGTGGAAATTAAAAATATATCAGAAATGAAAACCTCAATAAAAGGATTGAACAATATTATCAAAGAAATCTCCCAGAAAGTAGAGCAAAAGACAGAGATAAGAACATCTGTATTAGTTAGCTAGGTCTGCCGTAACAAAATACCACAGGCTGAGTGGCTTAAATGACAGAAATTTATTTTTTTCACAGTTGTAGAGGCTAGAAGTCCAAGATGAAGGTGTTGTCAGGTTTGGTTTCTTCTGAGGCCTCTTTCTTGGGCTGCAGATGATTGCCTTCTCACTTCATTCTCACGTGGCCTTTTCTCTGTGTGCACTCATCCCTGGTGTCTCTTCCTCTTTTTACAAGAACTCCGGTCCTATTGGATTAGGACCCCACCCCTACAACATCATTTACTCTAAATTACCTCTTTGAAGGCTTCAGCAAATAAATTTTGCAGGGACATAACTACATCAGAGGACTAGTCTAAAAATTCTGGAGTGAACAACAACAACAAAAATAGAAGGAAAGAAATCATCAATAAATGATTCAAGTAAGTTTTCCAGTACTTAAGGATGTTAGCTTCCAAACTGGAAGATCCTACCAAGCACCCAGAACAAAGAAGACAGATCCATATCAAAGCCCATCGTCGCTTTCACAACATTGGAGATAAAGAGATGATCTCACATATTTCCAGGTTATAAAGACTTAAATCTCAGAATGGCTTCAGATTGCTCAATAGCAATATTGGAATCTAGGGAGCAACGGCGTTCCTTAAATTCTGAAGGAAAATTAATTCCAACTTAGTATTCCATACCCAGTCAACTATCAACAAAGTATATGAATAGAATAAAGACAATTTCAGACATGTTGAGTCTCAAAACAAACAAACAAACAAACCCTCTCATGCACCCTTCTGTAGGAAGATTCTGGATGTGTGATCCACCAAAATAAGAGAATAAACCGAGAAGGAGGAAATTATGAAATACAGGAAACATAGTAAATTTCAAATATGAAGGAAAAAGAAGAGAAACCCAAGGTAATGTTGAAAGAGCACGGGACGATAGCTATGGATTAGGTATGGACAGCCACCAGTCCCAATTAGAGTTGATCAGAAATCTTTGGGAATTACTGCTTTAGAAAGATGAAATTGACAAAATTCTAGCTGCATCTGAAGACTTGAGAGAAGATTTAAATATTGGACCTAGAGTTTGGGAATTGAAATAATGACAAATACACAGAAAACAGCACATTTAAGAATTATGCAATTATTAGCCCTAGGGCAAATAAAATTTTGTATAAGAGAAGAAAGTAATTTTATATATGACTATGTAGTATTGATTTAACTTGTAGTGCATATTAAAAAATAATATACACTAGAAATAAAATAATTACATTGGGAAAATGGGCTTTGGGGAAGAGTACCATGTTTAATGGAGATGAGGAAGGAGAAAATGGAGCTTAATCCTTAATTTCTGTAGTGAGAAAGCAATATAATAAAATCCAAGAAAAATTAAGAAAGAGCAATATAAACCTAATATTTAAAAGCATGGAAGTAAATATAGAAATATTAATATTAAGCTAAAATAGTAGAAACTGGTTGCATGGGAAGGGGGCAATATGGGGAGATATACTTTTCATAACAAACCTTGTAAAATTGTTTACTCTGTAAATATTAAGAATTTTTAAACTTGTTAAAATTAAAAACAATTTAAAAAGATAATTTGCATAACAGACATGCTTTTAATTGAAAAACATTGTCTATGAAAGATATTAGTCACTGTTGATGATAATTTTTAGTAATTCCTTGTAGCAACTTCTAAGAAAATATATTTTAAATGAGTCTGCTAAATAGAAGTGCAAGAAATGTGCTCCTAGGGTTTAGTTGTAATTAGTGCCACATTAGGAGCTCAGTTTTCATCTGGAATATCATTCTACATGTCAAATAATATCCTGGAGTTGAAACTAAGCAACATAGAAATTGAGTTTCTTTTAAAAATGATCAAACATTGATATTGATTTTTATCTCATTCCCAGAATAAGAGTAGAAATTCGTTTGGAGAACTTGATTCTACTGAAATAACAGCTATAGGTAAGAAATAATATTTTATCAAAAACACTAATGAAAATCTCCAATAAACATTGCTTTCTCTCTTCAGCCAGCTCTATTTAGTTATCAGGTGATCAGGGTGAACATCATCGGTCACACAGAACATTTCAAAACTGCATGCCACCTGAGAGGATGCAGTGAGAAGAGCACAGCATCACTTTTGTGGTATTCTGCCAAAGAGGCATAACCTAACCTAACCAAGAAAACTTCAGAAAAACCTTTGAACATTTTACAACATAACAGGTCTGTGGTTTTTAAAAGTGTTAGAGTCATAGAAGTCAAGAAAAAAAA